GCAGGAATGGGTGGAAAGAATTGGGGTCTGTGTCTTCACAGTTCAGCAGCTTCAATTTATTGTGTATTAAGCTACTCAGGAAAATTTTATTTAGGAGAGAAAGAAAAAATAAACACACAAAAACTACCAAAGGGATTAAGCACCCATTTCAGGATGAGAAAACAGGAAAACAAAAAAATAACATGAAATAAAAATGTTACAGCTCATTTTTCTTGAAACTGCTATGTTGCAAACTTAGATCTTACATGAAGCGAACACTTAAATTGAGTTTATATTGTAACGTAATTTTATTTTGAAGTATTTCAGATACTTCCTTTTGTACTTGACAACAGCCCAGGCTTTGCCTCAGCATTTCCATTTCCTTGCAATAGAGGAATATGGGCGATCTGTCATATATAAAATCAGGCATGGCTGTCTTTTAGAGTAGGTGGTGTAAACCGTGTGGGATTTGTCCATTAAACAAAGAAGTGTCAATGAGAAATAGCAAAAAAGTTGAATAATCATAAAATGTACATCTTTATAGCACTATTCTAGAACTATGTGAAATCAGAGCAGTGGTGCTTTAACCGATCAGGTGCATTAACCCTTCTTGCCTTTGATATATAGACCTCTAAAACACAGAGCACAACCAAGCAAACAAAACCAAGTAGCATTAAGAGTGGTTTCCTTTTAAAATTATTAACTCAGTTTAAATTTATGTCTGTCTTATTTTATTAACTGTCCAGGAGTTGCTGCAGCATATATAGGCTCATATTGACATGTTCTTTTCATTCAGGTATTCACTAACTCTTATGTCAAGTATTTAATCATTTTTCTACTGACATTCATAAAATAAGAACTTCAGGCTAGAAAACCTATATATTAAAAATGGAGGAAAAAGTAGCTATTTTTAAGAAAGATTATTAAAATATGTTATTCTGGATCATGACTGCCTCTTCCTTTTATGTTTATAAAGTGTACTAGAATACAAGTAGGTGTTCTTGACAGTTGTGATGCAAACTGCAGGAGAGAAATTGATCTGTTATTAGTAGTCAGAAAACCAAGTTGCAGATGTGAGTGAAAGAGAAGGCACAGAAGAATTAAAAACAAAAGTCCTTGCATATGTACCTTAACTTGCAAAATAAAGTGATGTAGTGTCAATGTCTTAATATAAGTAGAGGCAGAAGGCTGCTGCTGTGAATTAGGATAGTTTTGAGTGGAGGACTGCTTCTGGGTAACAGCAGTGGAAAAAAAGCTGCATACTTGCTTTCATGATGTGCAGAAATGTAACAGGAAAGGTAATATTTATTGTTAACTATAATTCTGTTTCATTTAAACAAGGAAATGTTAGTTTCTCTCACGTGGAGGACTGCTTTCTAGCTGGACTCCCTTCTATTGAAATTTTAAAATTTTTTTGTTTCTTTTCTTAGCAACTTCTTCCCTATTAAACCAGTTAATCTACTAAACCTGTTCTTCTTTGGGTTGTTTAATGTGCCCCTTTTTCCTCAATCCCATCATGTATGCAGAAGATGAATCTAGACCCCTGTGATGTGACCAGTTCAAAGTTATATATGTGCTAGTTTGGCTGCCTTCTGACTGCCTCTCAGAATTTGTAGGAGCTGAATTACAACTGCTTTTCCCCGAATGAACCACAAATCTTGGTCTGACTTTTCTACATAACCACAACTTGTAATCAACATGTAGGAAATTTATAGCTCTGTCATCCCTGCTTGTCAAATTTGGCTGAAATTGCCCAACCAGTCAAAGTTGGGGAGGTGATGTGGTGGAGAGGCTGAAGGAGCAGGAGTAACATGATGACTACCAATGCAATTATACACATTAATAAATTTAACAAACTAGGTGAAAGTCTCTGGTCTTTTCTAGTGGGTGTTGTCTTTGGAGAACTCTTACAATGTTGCGGAAAAAAAAGCGCCACGAAGAGCTATTTTCCAAACTTCACTGGAGAATGCTGGTGGAAGTTTCTCTAACAGCTGTTCTCAAAGATACATGTCGTCATAGTACTACAGCAGAAAAACATGTCTAATGACCTAACAGCAGCATCTGAGGAGTCTAGAGGGAGTGTGACAGTAGTTCCTTGGTGAAACTGCAGCTGGGCAGTAAAGATCAAGCTGCTGCAAAATAACATGGTTGCTCTTTAAGAATTTAAAGTCCTTCAAGACCGTTATAGTAAGCAATATTGATTCTATGAAGTCCTCTTCTCCTCCCGACAGGTGGCTCAAGATTTATCCAAGGACTTAAAGTGCATGCTTACAGCATGGTTACCTGTTTACTTAAAAACAGAGATAGCTCTTTTGGATGGTACAGATTTTATTGTAAGGATCAAGCAGGAAAACATTGGCAGTATGTAATTGAAATGTTTAGAATAGATGAGCTTTCTTCAATCCTTAACTACATAATGTGACACTAATTTTGTCAGTCAATTTCAAAGGAGAGAGAAGGTGAAGAAACCCCAAAACAGCAGACATTGCCTACTCAGCTTTGGCCTTGATCTTTTGCAGAGGATTTAGCAGAAGGTGGCAAGAGGGATAGAAGTGTAATCAGTTGGACTATTACAGAGAAACAATGTGGCTAAGTACTTTCTTGGCAGTGTGCTGCTGTTTTTATCCATTCAGCAAATGTAACGTGTTTATACATCTGTCAATAAATGCAAGGCAGCATCCCATAATGAGTACAGCAGGGACTTAAGCTGGAGTGTATTGCTGTGTTTGATGCAAAGGTCAAGCATGGGAAGGGGGCTTGAAATTAACATTTTTTGAAAAGTATTTCTCCTTCCACTGAGACTATCTCTTAATTCCAGCAATTTTCTCTGTTTGATAAGCAGAGAAAGCATACATTTTTATTATATAAAGGAGGGAGGAGGTGATGAAACTTCAAAAAATTTCAACTGGCATTGCATTTGGGTGATAAGAATGGGGTTTTATGCAGCACAGAAGAGATTACCTGAAGTAGAATTGGGAGCAAATTGTATTTACAAAAGATGGCATGATTTTCCTAATAGATGTGCAAAACAGACTATTCACTCACATATTCTGCTGAGCTCAACTTGAAATAACTTCATTTCAGAAAGGACAGATCTGATTGAGGGTAAAAAGCATTCCCCTCTCAGAGATACTTGTCTAAAGGATTTGCATTAAATTTTCTTGATGGGAGCACAGTAATATTTTCTTTTGCATCCATATGAACTAGTAATGTGGAAGATAAAAATACAAATTGTGTACTTGACTGCTTCATGCTTCAACCACCTGAATTACTAGATTTATGTTTGCAATTATTGAAGAGATGTTGCAATATGATAGTTTGACAATAACTGTCACAATTATATTACCAAAATATAGATCCAACTTATTCTAAAAGTCTTGAAATTACATTTTAAGGAGTAGGCATATCTTCCTTTGGTTTATCTTGTTTTTAATGTGGCCAGGTCATTTTTACAGAGCTACAGTATGTCTAAATGTTGTCAGTTATTAGTAGGATACACAGATGTAAAAATTTCTTATGTTGCAAAGTTCCATGAAGTATATACAAGGCTGTTGTGAAATACCTTGTCATGGTAAGTATCAACAAGATCTATCTGTGGTTCTTCTAAATCCTTTACATTTTTCTCCCTCTGTATAGATTCTGGAGTTGGTGAAGGGCATGCATTACCAGCTGGCCTGTCAGAAGTACTTTGAGTTGACACATGATGTAAGTAGCTATTATTTTTTGTTAAGCTATAATCACCATCTTTGTCTTGAGGAAGGCCTTGGAAGTCATGCATGATGTCCAAAGACTATTTGCAGTCTTCGCATCCATCATTAGCCGTCTTGCCTTGTTAGTTTTCATTTAAATAATTTAAAAGATAGAGGAAGAGTTTGACATGGTAGATGAGGATTGGGTTAGGGATCAGTTGAGTAATCTGGACATTGATAAATCAATGGGTCCAGATGGAATGCACCCAAGGGTGCTGAGGGAGCTGGCGGAGGTCATTGCTAGGCCACTCTCCATCATCTTCAGTAAGTCATGGGCAACAGGTGAGGTGCCTGAGGACTGGAGGATAGCAAATGTCACTCCAGTCTACAAGAAGGGCAAGAAGGAGGACCCGGGTAACTATAGACCGGTCAGCCTCACCTCCATCCCTGGAAAGGTGATGGAACAACTTGTTCTTGTCACTATCTCCAGGCACATCAAGGACATGGGGGTCATCAAGAGCAGTCAACATGGTTTTATCAAGGGTAAATCATGTTTGACTAACCTCATAGCCTTCTATGAGGAAATTACTAGGTGGATAGATGATGGTAGAGCGGTAGATGTGGTTTATCTTGATTTCAGTAAAGCATTTGACACCGTCTCCCACAGCATCCTTGTAGAAAAGTTGATCAGGTATGGGTTTGGTGATCAGGAAGTGAGGTGGATTAGGAACTGGTTGAAAGGAAGGAGTCAGAGAGTTGTAGTCAATGGGGCAGAATCTGGTTGGAGGTGTGTGACTAGTGGAGTCCCACAGGGGTCGGTACTGGGACCGGTGTTGTTCAACATCTTCATCAACGACCTGGATGAGGGTATAGAATGTACCCTCAGCAAGTTTGCTGATGACACTAAGCTGGGAGGAGTGGCTGACACACCAGAAGGCTGTGCTGCCATTCAGAGAGACTTAGATAGGTTGGAGAGTTGGGCGGGGAGAAACATGATGAAATTCAACAAGGGGAAGTGCAGAGTTTTACATTTGGGGAAGAACAACACCATGTCCCAGTACAGGTTGGGGGCTGAACTGCTGGAGAGTAGTGTAGGTGAAAGAGACCTGGGGGTCCTGGTAGACAGGAGGATGACCATGAGCCAGCAATGTGCCCTTGTGGCCAAGAAGGCCAATGGCATCCTGGGGTGCATTAGAAAGGGTGTGGTTAGTAGGTCAAGAGAGGTTCTCCTCCCCCTCTATTCTGCATTGGTGAGGCCACATCTGGAGTATTGTGTCCAGTTCTGGGCCCCTCAGTTCAAAAAGGACAGGGAACTGCTCGAAAGAGTCCAGCGCAGAGCTACGAAGATGATTAGGGGAGTGGAACATCTCCCTTATGAGGAAAGGCTGAGGGAGCTGGGTCTCTTTAGCTTGGAGAAAAGGAGACTGAGGGGTGACCTCATCAATGTTTACAAATATGTAAGGGGTGAGTGTCAGGGGGACGGAGTTAGGCTTTTCTCAGTGATGACCAGTGATAGGACAAGGGGTAATGGGTGTAAATTGGAGCATAGGAAGTTCAAGGTGAATATCCGAAAAAATTTTTTTACTGTAAGAGTGACAGAGCACTGGAACAGACTGCCCAGGGAGGTTGTGGAGTCTCCCTCACTGGAGACATTCAAAACCCACCTGGATGAGTTCCTGTGTGATGTACTCTAGGTGACCCTGCTCTGGCAGGGGGGTTGGACTAGATGATCTCTCGAGGTCCCTTCCAGCCCCTAAGATTCTATGATTCTATGAAAAGTTTCTTTTGGCATTTTCTGCATATACATACATATATATATATATATATATGTTATAAATACCCTAAACATTACAAGGAAAATGTATGTGTATGCAATGTGTTAAGTCTTTCAACAGGTGTGGGAAAGAGAAGTGCTACCTATAGTGTACGGATGGTTTTATCATATGTTTCCAGTTCTGGAATATTAGGGCATACTCCTTTTGAGGGAAGTTATTTTCTAAATAATAACACTATAATTTGGTCAAGACAAGCTGTCCTATATATGTGAAGAAAAGAAGGTCTTCTGACTTGCTAGAATTCATTACTAAATGGTCTATACAGTAGATATTTTCAAACATCATATTTTAATAAGAATCTCAAGAATCACAATAGCAGCAAGATTTTATTTTATTTGAGTTGGTAGAATTGGATGGGAACTCAAAACAGAGAAAATATTTCCAGTCCAGTTTGGAGACCTTGCCTATGTACGTGCAGTCAAGTAAAAGAGATTGATGATATCAGCTATATGCTAGTAGGTCAAACAAATGTTCTTAAGACAGTGTGTGTGCAGAAATAATTAGTGCTTTAAAATTGGATTGTATATAAATCCACGGTTTTAACAGCCTGAGCATTATGAATAAATAAGGAGGCCTAACTGGCTACTGCCTCTCTTAAAAAATTGTATTCCAGATTAATAATGTTAATGCTGCTAACAGGAATATTGCTGTATTAGTTACTTGTTTCAGTTATAGCTGGAATGGCTGATTGTTTATATATTAATATTTACCTCTAGACATGTAATTCTTGAGTATTGATATTTTACAATCCTTTTGTATTTTCAAGTAAACAAAATCTGACACATAACAAATTTTCTGGTCTAGAAGAATCAGTTTTGAATAGTTTATTTAAAAGCATATGCAAAAACCCCATTTTTTCCTAGTCCTTTGTGATCATATAGCAAGAACACTGGACTATTTTTATAGAAAAAGGGATGTGGTTAATGAATATATTTTACTGTATGACACCATGATTGCTCCACGTGGCTTTTCTGTAATATCAGCTTTGGTATTATCAGCTGTCATTTTAAAAGTTCTTGGTTAAAAACCAAAGATACTATAGTTACAAAATGCTGGATTCACATTTTTCAAAACAATCTTTGCTATAGCAGAATTTATAAGAAACTCGAATTTGTAAGAAAACCAGCATGTGCAAATGTGTTAAGTAAAAAAAAATAATTTGCATTAGTATCACCTACTAAGTGGAATACATAGGTCTGTCTGAAGTCATAGGCCTTTTCGCTTGCATCAGTACACTTTGTAAGCTTAAATAATTGCACAAAAATTACATTTTTCTTTGGGCATAATGGATTTCAGATGGATTTACGTGTGTAAAGCTGTTAGAGAAATCCAGGTGCTCTATTTCTGGCAGTAGGTTTCAGGTAACTGCTATGTAAGTTACTGATGAAGCTTTTAAAATTGATGTGCTTTGATCTGTATTACCTAAAAACGTTGTAAAGCTTACATAAAGGTAACGCGAGCAGTCTGACATAAAAAATCCAGGAAATTTGTGTATGCTTTACTTCCTTTTTTTGTGGTCAAATTCCTTGTGTATTTCCAGCCAGGGCAGAAATTTTTTATTCAGAGAAATGCTCACTGAAGCTTGCTGAAAATTACACAGAACAGAATTGTTTATGTATATCACTAATGATGATGAACAAAACTTTCCCTTTCTGTCTCCAGGATCTAAAGAAAAAGGTGATAGTATGAACGGACAGAATTATTTTAATTAAAATAGAGTTGGCTAGGCTTCATCTAGCAGAGCTTTATTTTAGTAACGATCAGATTTGAAAAGGAAAAATGGTACTTGGAGCCATACTACAATTTCCCCTAACAGCCTGTAAATACCTTTTAGCCAAATACTATCAATCATCTCTGAAAACATGGTTGTAGCCTCTTTTTTTACAATAAGCTGCTTATACAGCTTGCTCTAGTTTGTTGAGGAGAGAGGAGTTAAGAACAAAATTAAGTTACAAAGTGATTTTTAAAGTGGTCTGAAGAAAACTGAGATTTTAAGGCTAAAAAAACCCAGAACTAATTAAGAGCATCTTCTAGGAAAGCCAGCTTTTCACTGTATTGCTTCTTTTTAAGCTTTTTGGTACAAAGAAGTGATTTAGCTCCCACATAATGGAAACTGAAGCACAGATGAAAGCTAGCTGGATGAAACTCATCCAGAGAAGACAGATGAAATTCAGTGGTTGCTTTTTAAATTTTTAATATTTTTTTTTTCCTCTTTTATTTTGAGTACCAAATTAGTGTGTTAGGCTTGTCACCTATTTTTAAGATTTTTCAAGCAAGCTCACTTACTACAGTTGCTAATGTCTTCTTCACATCTGAATTAGATTTTATTATACATGTCTCCATTTTCTGATGAAGCTAAGCTAGGCACTGTTAATGCATCTAATCAGGGTTTCATTTAGAGTACAAACTGATCTTCTGCTTTCTGATTTTTTCACAAGTGGCTGAAATTTAAACTGATGGGTTTTGGCATATTGAACCACTGCCAGTGTATGTCCTCATGAGATGCTGTGTGTGTGCAAAGTTGCTTGTAATTGGCTCCACCCTTCTGGGAGAGATCTGCACTGGAATATAGAGGGAGAAGAAAATTACCAGCATATGGCTTTTAGTCTTCCTTTGGTTTTTGTATCCCAGGTTATCCAGTGTTTTTTAAAGGCAGTATTTTTCTTAACATGTTCTTAGTGTTCACATGAAGTGACAGGCAGGAAAAAGGTGCAGACTGCCTGAATATGAAGTGGAAGCACCTTTTAGAGTAAGCACTTCCAAATTCTTAGCCCCTGAAAAAGATACAAAAGTTACAACTGTAATTTGTGGTGAATATGTCAGAGTAGCTTACTTCTAAAACTGAAAGCTTTGTTGATGTGAAATATTTAATGAACATTAATTGCATATTCATTTATCACATAATTACAGAGCTGAAAGAATATGCCTGGTAAGTAGGAAGGAACAATAAAAATACTCTGCATCTTATACTAGTTTTCTGTATTCTTTTCCACTGAAGACTAAGTGTTATTTGGTATTGGTTGTGCATTGAGTTTCAGGATTGTCACTGTTTGACTCAGGTCAGACAACAATGCTCTCGATCCCCCCCCCCCCCACCCCCCCGAAGTAGGAGGTAGGGAAGGAGAGAGAGAAAAAGAGAGAGACTTGTCTGGATTGGAAACTAAACTATGCAGCTTTAATTAAAACACTAATGAATGATACAAGAAAATATATGCAATTATATACAGATATATTCAGATATGGGCAAAAGCCTCTCGCCTCCCCCCACCCCCAGCAACTCCCACAGCACTTCCCTGAACTGGGAAGAGTCCCGAGCAATCCCGGAGCTGCTGCTGGAAAAGAGCAGAGAGTTATGGGGGTCAGGAGATCTCGAGCCTAAGGGTCAACGGTGATGGATGAACAGAGTCCTCCCTGGACGCCGGCCATGGATGGAAGAGAAGGGGAGAAGAAGGAAGGAAGTTGTCTTCTGTGATCTCTGACCTTCCTTTGAGCTTACGTAGATATATGGAATGGAATATCTCTGGCCAATATTGCTGTCTGTCTAACTCAGCCTCTTACCGGCGGGTCACAGATCTCCCCATAGTGTCTGAGCCGGCAGAGTGAAGGTGTGACCTTGAAGCCTCAGTAGTTAGAAAAACATTCCACTGTCTTATCAGCCTAGCAGAACACACTGTTGCTAGTTAAAAGAAAGCTTACTGAAGGAAAAAAAAAAAAAAATCAGTAAAAAGAAAAATTGGCTTCATCCTGGCTCAAACCAGGACAAGGATGCTTATGTTAGCATTGATGGAACAGAGATAAGCTTGATCGATTTGGCTTCTGTCTTAGCCTGCTGCCTTGTAAATACTGCATTTGTGACTACTGGAGAAAACGGAAAGAGGTGGAGCTACTTGTCATTCACAGTTTCACTGATACTTAAGATCCAGAATGATACTGTGCAGTTCTTATAACTGTTAGTGTCGTTCTCTACTGCCATTTGCACACTAGACTTAGTCTCCCTTTTGGGTAAGGGAACTGCTGTTTTAAGGTGTATGTTCAATAGTCCTACATCTGTAAAGGTGGGACATTTTACTTATATTGCTTTTTTATATTTTGGGGTGTTATTTTTCTTTACTGCAGCGAAAACAATGAGAAATATTGTTTGAATATGCCAAAGCAGTAATTTTATTTCTAACATGAAGGAAGAATTTTATTTTGAAAGTAAATCTGTGTCAGGCTAGTATTTACTGGGATAGTATTTACACACTGACTCGTTTTTCTTCAACACAATCAGGACTTACTTGTTAATTAATTTGCCCTTGAATGTGAAAAAGAGGAATTTTTGAAAGAAATCTTATAACTCACTGTTCCTTTCCTCTTATATGCAGGTTGATGACATTGGGTTTTCTTTGAATCATCCTAATCAGTATTTTACAGAGAGTCAAAAGGTATTAAGTGGCGGCAGAGAACTGAAGAAGGAACTAGGTAATTCAGGAAACTCTCAACAAAGAAGTAATACTCAGGAAAGCATGAATTCAAATTGCACTCCCACCTCTTCAAATACCACAGCTGATGCAGAACTGGAGGGACTGGAGGCATACTTCACTGAAGACTAAGCAGCTGTCATACATGGTTTTGGTTTAGTTTTGTTTGAGTTGGTTTGCATTGCGTTTTTTTTCCTTTCTGTCATTCTTTCCCGTCTCTAGCTGAATTTGGCCCTATAGTAAAGAATATTCACTTCAATACCTGGAAGACAAAGGCATTCAGTGCTTTGAATAGGCTGAAGAAAAGAAAGATAAGTACTGAAGCTGCAATTGCATCCAGAACTTATTCTTGCTGCTTTAGGATACCATTTTATATGGCATATTGAAGGATGGGAAATGAAAGTTCCTTCCCAATTAGTGTGTGACTTTTTTCTGACTTACCTTTTTTGTTTTCCCTCAAAATGTTTAAATATTTTTATCCCACTTTGTGGTCACTTTTATATTTTTCTTCTTAATAAATAAAATGCAAAGCAAAAGTTTGTGGTATTTTCTTTTTAGCTGTATTTGGATGTTAATTAAGTAGGAGTTCTTATGATCAAAATTACCTGCTGGCAGATTCTGTCTATCTCTTTACTACCTGGGGAGCTGAAGGAAATCAGCTTCCTAATTTGTGTACCTTGACACTAAATTTGGAGAACTGGTTTTGGTGCTTAAAATAGAACATAAGCAGAGTTTAGACACCTGTATGCAAGAAGGTAATCCAGAAAAATGACACTCCTCCAAGGGACTCATCTTGAAGAAGCTAAAAACTTAGTAGCATATATTCCTTTTGAAGACATTTCTTCAGATCTAACTTGATTTTTTCCTGAAGTTCCCTTTGTAAGTGCTGAGATTAAGCATGGCAGAGACTTTCTCTTTGCATAACACCTCCCATGATACAACTTTGATCCTCAGTAGAAAGTAATGCTCTTTTGAAAAATGAATATTAAGGTTATGCCATATCCACTTGTGCTATACCAATGTCCTTTTCATTATCCTGTGTTCATGAACTGTCTTAATTCCGGTTTATGATTCTATGACAAAGGTCTTCAACTTAGCTGAGAACTTGCATCTCAGCTAGAAACACAGCATCCTGTGATACTTTTGTTGTGGTTCTTATTTTTATTTGAAGAGATTTTGAGAGTTCATATATCTTCATGCTTTTTTGCACAGCCTAATCACCAAGTCCTGCTCTCAACAGATCTATGTCTATATCACCTTCCTGTCTGCAGCTATTGATCTACTTTTCACCTGTGCTATCCCACTTCTAAAGTCTTCCGGTGCTTCCTATCTTAACTACTTAGTATTTAGGTCTCTGTTCCTGTGTATTTCTGGGCTACAGTTTGCTCCTGATATTATTCCAACCACTTCTATACCTGTTTTCCAATCGATTTACCTACATAAACACTAAAGGTTCCTGCTGGGATAGAACTGCACCCATTAATCATAAAAACCTTTGTCTGACTCGAATGCCTTAGATCCTTCAGCATTTGATGGATTTAAACAAGCCTTAGCAAGTGTGCTAAGGGGTGAAAATCTTTATTTTTCTATCTGTGAACTAGATACTGAAGGCAGAGGTTTTGATGTTGAAATGAAGCACTTTTGGTAATAGTATTAAGAGTTCAGATTAGAGTGGAAAGAAAGGTTTATACTCTCAAAAAGATCTGTCAAAATCAAGATCCACTGACATGAACTAGGCTTTTGAATCAGATGGGCCAGTGAAGAATGATAACATTTGGTACAGTCTGATGGGGTAATAAACATAGAAGGGATAATAAAACATGAAAAGGCAATGAACTGCAAGCACAGCAGAGAGGATGGGTTACTCTGCTAAAGTGATCTAAGTAGGGGACTTCACAATAGCTCTAAAAACTCCCATCAGTAACATCTATTATACAGCAGATAAGAAGGAAGACACAGGATGGTGAAAACAGGAGACTGCGGATGGTAGAGGTTAGATAAAAGATTGCAGCTCTTCAGCAGACTTACAAACTAGTAAAAAGAGGAAACAACAGCAAAACCCGTAAAGATCTCTAAAAGGACAAAGTGATTGTTTCTTGGGATTTTTAAGAGTCTTGAGAGGCATATTTTAGAATATGCTATGTATACTTAAAAAAAACTAAAATTCTTAAGTATCATGGTGTGAAATTACCCAAAGAGTAGAGAATCACTCAGATATTAGCATATAATACAAGCTTTTAATGATGTTTAAACTGTTTGGAAAAAATGCATTTATTCACTGTTCTTCCTTGCCAGTTAGTAGACCTAAACCTGTCTTTATCACTTTTCTTCCTCACTGATACTGGCTGCAAGAATAATTTTCTGTAACAAAAAATACCTGAGGATTGTTTTTGTAACCTGCAAGAGTAACATCTTAAAACAGAAAGTAAGTACTCCTGTATAAAGCGTTACTAATTCAGTTGCCACCTTCTTCATCACTGTAACTGCAGAGAACAGTTAATTATTAAGCCCTGCTGTTGTCCATAAACCTGGAATAAATGTCTAAATGAGTCCATTCCAAGCTTTAGTAAAGACTATTTCTAATGAGCATTGTTAAACTGACACTGTGCAGAAGTGATTAGACCCTTTCTACTGAGCAAGATTTATACTGTAATTGGTATGAAATGATGTCTTAGCAGAGCTGTGATTCACAGAATCACAGAATTATTGAGGTTGGAAAAAACTCGTGAGATCAACCTATGACCTAACACCACCACATCAGCTACACCATGGCACTAAGTGCTACATTCAGTCTTCCCTTAACTCCAGGGATGGTGACTCCACCACTTCCCTGGGCAGTCCATTCCAATGTCTGATCACCTCATCCATGAGGAAGTGCTTCCTAATATTCAACCTAAACCTCCCCTGGCGCAACTTTGGGCCATTCCCTCTTGTCCTGTCACTAGTTGCCTAGTAGCAGACTAAAGTGTTTGCTGTCAATGACTTTTTCTTCAGCTGAGGGTTATGAACTCAGGTCTGCTAGGCAGGTGGACAATGCAGGTACCTTGACCAGCTGCTTAGAAAACTCAAGAGATCTTGCATGACATTTGGCCATTCAATGTACAGCTACACAAGGGGATAATCAAGTTGATTTGGGCTAATATTTCTAATTGTGTGAACTAAAATGACGTGGGAGTATATATATAGGAGTATCTTATTTCCTCTCTACCAGAAAGCTGAAGGTTGTTGGCATTTCAGATTAATTAAAGCCAAACAAGTATAATCACCACAGGCTATTCCTCTGGACTTCTGAACAGTTTTAATTTTCAACTGTGTCAGAATTATTGCTTTGGGAATGAAAACTTAATTATTCTCTGTGGTCTAAATAAATAAATGCATTCGATGTATCTTTTTAATGTATCATGGTTCTGATGTCTTCATAGTTCACTGTGGTGAGAGTCTTGCATGCAGATCCTTGAATGATGCTTAACCTAAGTCTGCTCTCTGGAAATGGTTTTTTGCTTGTGTGAATAATTTGCAGTGCTTCACTGAGCAGAATCTACAGCATGAATTGGCTGTATGGCCAAATAGTGCCAGCAGAGGGAAAATCATTTAAGCCATGGGTGACTCTACATCTGTTTGTTCTGCCAGGTGGAAGACAATCTAATAAACTTATTCTTCTAAACTAGTCTCTGTGAGGTGTTTATAAATGACTGTAAAATCCTAACTTCCCATGGGTGAAGAAAGGAGTGTGAGATTTTTGTTGGCAATCACTCGGTCCTGCTGCTGCTCACAATTTGGAGCAATTGTTAGCACTGAAAGGAATTTGGCCTAGTCTGTGGGGTCACAAGGTGGCTTTGAAATAGTGAAGGGTGAGATAAAAGCCTCAATACATTTATTTTCCGCATGGTGGTAATGTGGTGGAGTAGTGAACCTTTAAGGGCTGTTGGCTGCATGCATCAAAAAGAGTGATCAGATCCCTAGAAAAACAGGAGCGTCTGTCGGTGACATCTGAGGGACTTTTTTTATGACTCATGGTTATTAGAAGACAAATATCTAAATAAAATGTTCCTGTGTAGATTTTTGTTTCATGAATGCACAGAATCACATTATCAAAAGAATTGTGCCCCTGAACCTGGTTATTTAACACAAAATAAATAATATTGAAACCACGCTTGCCCATCAGCAAAATGGTATGAAGTGATCATTGCAGTGCATAGAGCTCATGACTTCTGGCTGCTGTGACTATTCACAGCTGCCAATGGCTGAGCGACTCAATCCCAAGAGCTTTTTTTCCTTTAGCAGACCTTTCCATTTGTCCATGCTTTCTCTGGGTAGGGTTTCAGTGGAAAACACTCACTACGTGGGTTTTTGATGTCAGGCTTGCTCTTCAAAAGAGATTTGGCTAAATGGAAGCATTCAGATCAATTCATGTTGTCATTGTCTCTTTTTGTGTATTCTTTGTTCAGGGAATCGGGAAGTAGGGAAATATGCACCAGGAATATGTGAAGACCTGTCTGCTTCCTTCATCAGTCTGTGGAAGCCACAGGTTGCTTAAATGATTACTGCTCACCAGCGCTGCAGCATTTTGGTCAATAGAAGTTGTATGAAAGATCTTTTCCCAGAGAACACACTTTACATTTCTGATCTTCATTGCTATACTGAGGTGCTGTGTACTGCAGATGGCAATCCTAGGACATTATAGCATCGACAGACTGGGACATGACAAAAGCAAGGTGTCTATCCCTGAAGGACAAAAACTGACTGGATTCATTAAATCTGCTGCTGCTGCTGCAACCCAATTTTCTCTATGGCAGATGCATGCTGTAAAGAGCACATAGTGCAAAGCACAAAGATGTGCAGCTCTTGGCATCTTATTCACATTTGAATGCAAAACAGACAACAAATTCCATTGCTCTGCTTAGAAAATACATGAAAATAATATACCTTGAAATGATAAAGAAATGGTTGGAAGGTTATAACAATATTATTATGTGTATTCATTTTCAGAAGAGCTATTGTGGCTGGGTCTCATTGTTCCTGGTCTCATTGCTCAAGAAGATAGCAAGCAGAATATTTTTTGTCCTCATCAGCTTACAGTTTGAATTATGAGATGTTGTGATGAGTTAATGTAACAAATATGAGAGGCAGATGATTTAAAAACA